CATAAATGGCATTATTTGCACTTCGTGCATTTCGTGCATTTTTCACGTGATCGATCACGGGTTTCGGGTCTCACACTATGTAAAAATTCAATATACCACGTATATAGATCATATAAAAATTGATCTACGTTCACCCTACCCTACCCTTAATTTTTTACTTCGCATTTGTATGTTACACACTGATCTTACAATCGGATTTGATAAAATCACAGGACCGCCAATTTTTTGTGCCATCACTATTTCACTCCAGTAGCATCTTAGTTACCAAAATAGGTATTTGTTTATTTACTAATTCAGAATATTCCTTCAATTACTAATTCGAATTTTTTTTTTTTAATTACAGTATATATAATTCGAATATTCTTACAATAACAATAACATTTAAGCAAATGTTGTAACAAAACAAATAAAAAAAAATTACCAAAACTAGTTGATAGATTTATGAAAATTAAATTTTGGTACACGACTCTGAAGATCATAATGAAACTCAAACAAATTAATTATCCCTTACACCATCGCCTTGCAGGCAAATGGTCACAATATTCTGTAATTGAAATATTTGATCTATATTGGAATGTAACCTATTTCACAACATAATTTAAGGTTCACAATGATAGTTGGGCGATACAAGTGAAATTCACAATAATTGTTCAATGACTAAAATTATGAAATTAGTTAAAATCAATCTTGCTTTTCTCTCACTTTAATTTACAAGTTAAACATGGTTAATTACAAGTTTATATTCACTATTTTCGCTCTTTATTATTATGCATTCGCAGAAGCATCCTACTGTATGGCTATCTATTCATTGATATTACTACCAATACTTCATTAAAATATCTGTATCTAGTAATTCGTTTTAGATAAAACTTTTATTTTTCTCAAAGAGAAAAATTATCCAATTCGTATTACTGGAAATGAAATTTTTGGTAGAGTCTGTGTGTAAATTATTCATTGACGCTTATATGATAAAACAAATAGCTAATAAATGTTTCTGTAAATATTGTTATAGCATCAACAACGCTTAAAACAAGTTTAATTAGTCCAACTCAAGCCTATGATTTACCTAACGTCCCAGTCCAATCCAATACCGATTCTACCGATTCTATATCCCAAGGTAATAATCGAGTTCTATGTCATAGCAATTTAGTAGCTTAACTGTTAATTACTCTATGTTAAGAGTGTGTTAAGATTGATCGTTCAAACTAACTATATAATTTTTGAATAGGAATATCAACCGGCTATAACATTTATAAAACTTTGCTATTCATTGTAGCACCTATTATAATTTTAATCTTACTTGGTATATTTTTATGGTTTTATTGCAGAGGTAGAGGTAAAGCTAAAGATAGAAATAATCTTGATAGTATTGAAGGTGTAGGCTATACTTATTCTGTACATTAATAATTTGTTGTATAGGAGGAGGCCTTCGATTTCTTTTACTGTAATTTAGTAGACTAGTTTTTATTTCTATTTAAGTAAGTAATGAAATAATGGCAATTATTAGGTCAAAATTTGTGTATTCCGAGTTGAATATATAATTACACAACTTCGTGTGGCATGTAAAGTTGCAAGGTAGAGTGCGTGTATAAAAACTAGGTAGAATTTATGAGTTTTTAACGGGTGGAATAATACTGTAATATATCAATACTTAAGCTTATTATTAATTTGGAGTTGCATATAAACTAGCACGTTAAATTTATTATATTAGGATTTGCTTAATATTATTATACATGTTGTACGTAGGAACAGAATTATAGTGGGTTTAGAATCCACTTAAGTTAATTCAGAATGCACATAGGTTGTAATAGAATTCCAAAACATGCTCGCGTTGATAAAGAATTCCAATTCAACTTAAACCAAAATAAAGAAAATTCGAAGTCAATTTATCGAATTAAGTTATTTTAGAATTTAAGTGGTTTTAAGATAAAGTTAACTCAATGGCCAAAAAACAGCCATTTGTACAATGACGAAAAAAAAATTAATATGTCGCGAAAATTATTTTATTGCCTTAAAGCCTACATATAAAGCTTACATCGTATTTGGCATTTAGAATTTTTAGGATTGCAACTACTACCGCAAAAAATATTTATTTACCTTTTTGTATATACAGTGATTTTTGTCATAGGCATTTTTACAATTATATTTAATGTGAGGGACCATAAGGTTGGTTTCAACGTGAGGTCAATTAGTATTTTTTATGATTACTAATCGTTGGCAGACTTTAAATACTAATTGACCTCACGTTGGAACAAACCTAATGTTGGTCACACTCATTTGTGACGAAGATTGCATGATGGATGCTTCCCGAACACTTAAGAATTTTGAAGGAAGTAATTCATTGGCATTATAATTTGCTCTAATAATGACAGATTTATACCCAATCCTGTAAGTATTATTTTCCAAAACCTCCAGGATCTTGCAGGGGAGAGTTTTTTGATCACAATGTGTTCTGTCAGTCTCAGGAATCTTGACTTGGACAAAATCTCCTACGTTATATTTATTCACAAATTTTTTATTACGTTTGTTGAGTTGCAACTTCATTTTGTCTTGATATCTTTTGAGAGATTTTATTATTATATCTCGATAGATTTTGTATACTGACTTTTGATTATTGTTTCCACACTAAATATTTTAAAAATAAAAATAAGCATCAAATTTTGTTATAAAAAAATTAAATTATTTAAGTACCTGAATATTAACATCTGCATTAGCATTAGTAGCCGAAGTTAAGGCTTGTACCTTTAATTGAACGAGCTTAATTATCAGATAAACCCCTATAGGTTACTTTATTTTAGATAATTCATATGGTAATGCACTTCCTTTATCAGGAATCTATTTTATAAATTTATTAAAAGTCACTTGTTTGAATAAAGCAATCGCACAATGATATAAAGCTAAATATTTACATTCGTTAATATATTTTCTTTTTCATTCATCCTTATGTCAACTACACTGGCGATCAAAAATAATGCAGCAAAAAAAAAAAATTCGTTAGATCGAATTATCTCGCGCAATTACGCATGTATCCTTTTGTT